TTATTTAGTTTTTCTCTTATCATTTTTTTAACTATTTCTCTATTTGTTGGGCCTAAGATTAAGTTACCATTGTTTTTTTCTGTTTGTTTGTTTTCATTACGGTGTAATAAAAGTTATCATTATTATTAACATTCACATTTTAAATTAAAAGAATACATAACACATGCGTTCTACTAATAGTTCTCTTGGTTACGATAACTGTTTTTGTGGGATTTAAAAAAGCAGTTTCTAAAGTAAAATAAAAATATTTCAAAATTCGTATTAGAAATAAAATCTTCAAATCTGGTTCATCGAACTGTTGCATGCACAAGGCCCTATGGTGTAATGGTTAGCACTCTGGACTCTGAATCCAGCGATCCGAGTTCAAATCTCGGTAGGACCTATAATTTTAAATGTTTTGGCAGTGTTTTCTTGTTATATATTATTCGAATAAATCGAAATACAGACAAAAATGTGACACATCACACAATTTGAAGAAACCAATGTCACAATTGGATTAGTATTTTCTTTCATAAGACTGTGATTTTACATTGGTGTATTTTAAAAACATCCATAAGTCTGTAGAGGGCGCCATTGTAGAAGACTGTCTGTAATCTCTGCGCTACATAAAATTACATTCGGAGTCATCGAGTGATTTTAAAAGATTTTTAACAAATACAAATGTAATATAGCTAACAATTAAATGTAAACAGTCAGTAAATAAAGAAAAAATAAGTGGTTCATCTATTAGCGACTGTTCTTACTTTTTGAAAATGAGGCCTGCTTTGCTTGTTGGCCTGTGGTGACGCTATTCATTTTCCCCATCAAATAGTAGTAGAGTAACACCCAGCAAACACACCATTCCTAACAACCAAAATGGCGACCTCTACCACACAAATAATGCCCGACGAATTTACAGAGTTTGTCGGTTCTTCCAGCGAAGATCAAGCATATGCCAAGGTTTTCTGGCAGTCGATAACACTACACCCTCCGATAGAATCAAGACTGGTTTCCGGGGACATTAGACAGCGTCTTCCTGTCGCAAAACCCAAAGGAACGTGTGAGTACGACATTTTTTTTAATGTCAGGCTACCAAAGACAACTAACTTACAAGCTTGTAATTCAGGCGTACCGTAGATCTTACACATACTTAGTACACCGCCCCCCCCCCCAGCTGTCACATGAAGGCTGTCGGCAAATATTCGCAATCAGGAAAAAAACTAGTACCGCCATTCACAAAAACAAATCTGAAGGCATTTTTTTAGGTTGTTCAGCCTCTATGGGAAAATGCCCAAAACTTAGAAAAAGAAAAAAAAATGGACTGTTTTTCTGTTGCCGTCCCCTTCCCCAAGTAACTCATGAACTACCCATTAGTCGTCATCATCTCTTTTGTACACCTTGAGCCGTGGTTGAAAGCGTTATTTTTCTTGCTACATGCCTGTAGGTACGTTTACATCACAAGTAAACGATTGAAGTTCGTATTTTGGCACAATCGTCACTGTTACGAAGTGTGTGAAAATATTTATGACAAAATTGTATGATGTACAATTATGAGCGACCCATAATGGGCGAAAGCTCACAAAGAGTGCTTGAGTTATTATTGTTATTGTCTGAGTGTTGTCAATACCATTCAATACCAATTTAAACATTGGTGAAAACCTGAGGACACAGATACTTTCATTTGTCTATGCAAAAGTCGATCTAGTTTCGCAAATTATCAATAGTACTACAAAAACAAAACAAATTCTCTCTGTAATTGCACTCTGTAGACATACTCCCACTTCGATTACCTCATTTGCTTGGATAAATCATTCTTCACCTTAGTTCACTGACACAATCGGGCGACCCAGTCAGGAGGCCAAGATATTATTAAAGATTTTATGGCACTTTTTGAGATGAATTTTCATTGCCTCTGTAGTGAGTGAGTGCTACAAAAATTTTACCATTTGCACTGACTCGCGGAATTGTTGCTCATGGAAAATAATGTGTTCCGTATTGCATAGAAACATAAACGCCATAGATCAGTTTCCGTCCATTTTGAGAATATATGTTATGCCTGAAATCAAATGTGAAAACAGGACAAACAAAGCCTTAAGGGCACAGCATTATAGCATGTATTTTGTGAAGCCATGTTAAAACATTGCATGCGATTCAAAATGCAATTTTGCAATGTTATTTACCCGCCTAATAATGTGCTATACACATTTGGTAATAGTCAAAGATATCGCCATATTCCTCTCTGAAAAATCGGTATTTCATTATTGAACTATTAAAAAAAAATTATAGTTCAAAATCAAATCATTCGATATTTGCGACAGACTTTCGTTCCACGTCTTTCACGCATTACTTAAGATCTCACAGTGAAAGATAACTCACATGCGGTCAGCAATCCATAATATTATGAATGTAAAAATAAGTGATAATAATTATCAGATTTTGAAATTATCTTTTTATTATTTTGCAGATATTAATAAATCTTATAAACCAATACAGAAGCCACCTAGTAAGTATCATATTTGTACACTGAGGATGCTACCATCATTTCAATGCTTCGTCTTTGATAGTTTGTAACAAATCTGTTTTACAAATACCTGGTACTTCCTTTTTCTCTATTAGAAGTGCCACTCCAATAAAAGCGAAAATAAATCAAAAATTGCATTTTTGTTTAGTAAATTCATTATCATGAATTATTTTACCAATAAAAAGACCTCTGTCTGTAATATACATATAAATTTATTATGATATGAACATAAGTGAAGTAATTATGAGGTGAAAATAGTTTTGATGCAATTACCCTCTGATGAGTGATGTGCCCTCTATAGTTCATTGTACATGTTTACAATGTTTTGTTCATAACAACTCTAAGCGGTGTTTGCATAGTGCAAAGTTGTTGATGCTGCTCTCTATAGTCAACAATACAAGTTTACTTTGTTTTTCTTTTACTCTTTCATCATATCCTGTCGTTAAAAAATGTTATTTCTGTCTTATTTAGAATTGACCAAATTTCTACATGTATCACATGGACAAGTTTTACAGGAAGAAAGTCTAAAGTTAATGAAACAGGTGAGTGGATTGTATTCTGAATATTCTCACATACTGTATTCTTTGAAGTTTTGTTTTTTGAAGAAAAAAATAATTTGCAAAGTGTATTTTGTGAAGCTAATTAAATAATAACCCATGTTTGTGGGTGTATGTTTTAATTTACATATTTTATTTAGGCACAAAAAAGAGAAGAAGATTTGCAGAGACTGCGTAAAAGAAAAGAAGAGAGAGCAGAGGTGAGAAATTCACGAATACTTTGTTCTTATCACATGACTTATTGCCTTATTACATTGTTCATAACATGGTTACTTATTTAGCGAGAGGGTTGTCACCTGTGCATGCGCGAGATGTGAGTCCCAACCGACGATAACAACACGTGCTAAAAATCCAAAGGCTCGTAGGTAGACACTTGTTTGTAAACATGCGCAGGTGAGACACCCCTGCTTTAAGAAAGATTACTTACTAGAGTTATACTGTAAATCACTTTGATATTGTAACAAATTTTCATGAATTTCGAGAATCAGTTAAAATTGTGAATTTTTGTTACAGTGAAAATTTCTCTGGGGTTCTACAACTTAGAAATGTCAGTGCTATTAAAATAATGAAATGATCAAATCATAAAACGAGTTTTGCCTTCAGCCTGAATTTATAAAAAACTCCAGCTCTAATCACTTGAATCTTCTGATGTCAACCTAAAAAAAATATTGCAGGATTATAAATAAAACATTTTTTTTTTTTTTTTTGAATCTGAATCTGCAAGCTTGGTTTAGAATCTGAGGCTAGCCTCACTTTTTCTGAGGTAATTGTGTTTATAAGAATGTGCCCACTAGACCCATTATTCCTCATCAGCATCAACACTAGTGTTAAGTATATGATGAGTAGCTCAGTTGTGAGCCAAATCAATTCATATAATGAAGTGTTCAATGCAATGCAATCACAGTACTATTGATGATGTGATCAGCTTCTGGTCTGTCAAAATGACTACCTACTTTGAGTAAAATACAAAAAAATTTCTATGCACAAGAACAGACAGTAACTTTCTAGCTTTCCAGTATGTTAGTAGTATCCAGTATCCATTTTTTACCTCTTACTTGAAAATAAAACTATATCGCTGCAGTACAATTTTAGGCTAAATCAAAGATATCAAAATATGTACATATATTAGCACGTGATATCCCAAGAGCAGCTTATATTCAACCAAATAGTATGGCTTCAGGTGATATACAGCTGTTGTTTCTTATATACTGTGAAAATACTTTATTTTGGCTAGGAATTGTATTATTCACTAAGTTTAATTTTTGATTATTTTGCTGACAGCTTATTGTACAACCATAAATTAAAACTTGCAAAGTTACCAATAAAATTTATTGTTTTTTCACAAACCAGTGAGTTTAAA